ACAATCACCATACAAAACTATTGAAATCAGCATTAAAATGCCATTTTAGAGTCGTCTACACAAAAGTCAAACTCCGGTCAACTCTTACTGCTTAAGCTTCTAAAAAAATTATCCTTCTAAACCAATCCCGAAACATCCAAAAACCAAACTCGTCCGCACATGCAAGCCATAATACACAACCTCAAGACTTTAAGCCACCGAACGGGACACTAATTCTCAAAAGGAACAGTTAGGTCGCTACATTCTCCCCTTCTTAAGCAAACGTTCGTCCTCGAACGTGTCAAGAACCATTCTGAAGTCATCAAGTCACTAAGTGTACTCACCATACATATACTCGCGGGTGATCCCACGTCACCCCAATCTACGTGGGCCCTACAACACCAACTCAGTTGAAGATTATTTCTTCCACCAACACTAATAGGCTTTAGAACCAAATATTTCGCCATCTGATCATTTCCGAAAGACCCGATTTCTATATCAACACACAGCATCAGTCTCGACCAGCTATAACTCGCGCCTACCCCCACCAGGTACAACCACACAACGTAATGTATCACACATATGCCCATAACAACATCTCTGGTCATAATAGTTGCCCTAATCAAATCCAACACCGGCGATTAACTTCATACTGGCTAGGATCATGTTCCAAACCTCCACGACATCGATAATGATGTAAGAAACATGAAGACCTCATAAACATTCACCCAAAATATCAAGTGACATCTAACGCCACCTGGGCACACACCTCGTAAGCTAAAACCCAATAGGCACAACGCGAATCTGACTAAATATGCAAAGAGAAACACATGAGAGGACTATCGAACAAGCCCGATAGGCACGACTCCCAATCAGTAACATACTACAAATCTATTCCACAATGGAGAATCACAGTATATGAACAAATCACAAGGATCTCATGCTAATATAATTCCACCGCGGCTCGCAACCCAATTCAAACGTATCAAATCACATGAAGACACGAGGATCCCATCCTCGGCTCTGAATCACAAGTAGCATGCACACTATACCAACCGAAACCATCCACTAACAAAAATCACAACACATACCAGGCCCCCACACCTGTAGAGCATCTAAATCACAAATCGTATCCAACCATCTTCAAATCACATTAAAACCTATCGTAATGAGTAACAGAAAGTCACTTCTACTCTCATAGATCTCAATAATGAACAAAACAAAAATATAGACACGGGCTACCACTATAGAATCTCCCAACAGTGGTAAACATATAAGCAGAGTACAAAATCACAAAACTCACCCATATGTGAAGCAACATAGGAGGACTCGCCCCGATAATGTGGAACAATGATTCCACAAAAACACAATTCAAAAATAAGAGAGAGAGCATGAATCAATGACCCCGAATAAGAATATGTCAGCAACGAAAGGGATAACAATACTTCAATTAAGGATAAGCAATTATGGAAGAGATAATAGTAACTTCAATTAAGGTTAAGCAATTACGGAAAAGATAATAATAGTAACTTCAATTAAGGTTAAGCAATTACGGAAGAGATAGCATTGAAATAAAAGAGGCAACAACTTCAGTTAAGGCACATAAGAGTTTAATTGGCAATAAGGGCAGAACATGAATCGATTAATTCCAATTAAGACATGCAAGGGTGAATTTAGTAAATAGAGGATTTAACATGACAAAAAAACCTTATATCTAATGAACATAAGAACCTAAGAGCACTAAATAGTCAAATTTCCACAATTGAGCCCGAGTACATACTCGTCACCTCGCGTACACGGCCTTCACATGACACAATTAGCATAGATGACTCAAATCATAAGGGGTAGTTCTCCCACACAAAGTTAGGCAAGATACTTACCTCAAAGAAGCTAGATCGATACTCTAAAATAACCTTCTCTAGTGAAATAACCTCCGGACGGCTCAAATCAAGCCCAAAAATTTTAAATCATTAATAAAACTCAATTCCGGATACTAAAGCTTCAATTTTTAAATAAGAACTAAGAAGTCAACACACGGGCCGGCACCTCAAAACCTGATAAAATTCATAAAACCCGAACACCCATTCCGATACGAGTCCAATCATACAAAAATTATCAAGTTAAGATATCAAATCGCCCTTCAAATCCTCTTTTTACATTTTTGAAAGATTTTATAAAATTCCCATATTCTTCCATTCAATTCACTGATTTAATGATAAAAATAATTATGATATCATAAAATATAATAAATTTTGGATAAAAAAACACTTACCCCGAGGAATTTCTTGGATAACCCATGAGATATCACTCAAATATGAGGTCTCTAGCTCAAAAGATGATAATGGAACAAAACCCTCGATTTGGGAAATAAAATCTGCTGCACAGGCATTTGCACCTTGCGATCGCAGAAATACAGTTACGATCGCGAAGAAGGAATAACTACTGCCCAACAATGTACTATGCGATCGTGAACGAATGCGTGCGATCGTGAAGAAGGAACAACTACTGCCCCAAAAATGTAATACGCGATCGTGAATGAATTTATGTGATCGCGCAGAAGAAGAAATATCAGCTTCCAAGGCTGTTTCGTGAACGTGATACTAGGAACGCTAATGCGATGAAGGAGAACTCACACGTACGATACCAGACATAATGATGCAAACGCGAAAAGGAAAAAGTACCAGTCGCCAAACAGCCTTCGCGATCGTATAGAAGGACATCAGACATCAGCAACAGCAATCCAAAATAGGAGGAACTGGCCCGTAGCCCATCCGAAACACAACCAAGGCCCCCAGAACTCTGTTGAAACATACCAACAAGTTCCATAACATAATGCGGACCTGCTCGAGGTCTCAAATCACATCAAACAATGTCGAAACTACGGACCTCGAATCGAACTTATGAATTTCTGAATCTTCCAACTTCCAAAACTCGTGTCGAAACATATCAAATCAACCCGTAATGATGTCAAATTTTGCATGCAAGTCTCAAATGACATAAAGGCAACTCTCAGAATCGCATTTTAAGCCCAATATCAATAAAGTCAACTCCCGGTCAAACCTCTCAACCTTCCAAAACTTGAACTTTCAATTTTTTGTCGAAATGCTTTAAATTATCCTACGGACCTCCAAATCCAAATACGGACGCACAACAATCCAAAATCATCATATGAAGTTATGGAAATCATCCCAATGTCGTTTCGGAGTCGTCTACACAAAATTCAAACTCCGATCAACTCTTACCGCTTAAGCTTCTAAAACAAGAATTATCCTTCTAAACCAACCTCGAAACATCTGAAAACCTAACTCGATCGCACACGCAAGCCATATTATACAATACGAAGTTGCTCGAGCCTTAAGCCACCTAACGGGACACTAATTCTCAAAACGACCGGTCGAGTTGTTACATTTGACTTTCAGTACCAGGTGTAGATGGTGGTATTTTAAGATTATCAGGTGATTGAATATCATCTTAAGTATCATATATACCATAATCTTCTTGAAGTTGCTTATAATCCACATTTAAATTTTCAGGTGAACTTTCAGAAATATGTGTAAAGTTACTAGAAGAACCAGTACCACCTCTTAATCTTTTATGATTTTTACTCTTACTAGTACCATCCCTACTAGTACGGGAGTCCAGATGCCGCACAAAATTTGATATCACACTTCAATTAGTATTTGATGATATTGATACCACACTTCACTTGATAATTATAATTTTGTAGTATCTACAGTAAATATTTGATAAAACTTAAAATAATAAGTAATTAAGAACTTGAGAACAATAAGCAATTCAATAATCAAGAGAGAAATAGAGTAGTAAGAGAGAAAATTGTGAGAAAAAATGAAGAAGGTGGGAGGCTATTTATATTTTTTAAAAGGACATTTTTTATTTGACCGTTGGCAACGATCATTTTTTAATTTGACCGTTGGAAACGGTCAAAAAAGATTGCATAACAGTAACCAGGCTAGACCGGGCTGTAACTTGGTAAAAACCCATTAGTGGGTTACCGGGCTTGCCGGGTTCGGGGACACTGGTTAGCAAAAATGGCCTGGCCCCATCCGGCTAAACCCCTAACCCTAACCAATACGTCCCACACCTTAGCGGATCGGGATGAACCGGGTCGAGCTGGATTATCAATGGGCTGGCCCGACCCGTTTAATTGGTTTAGTTTAAATTGATTGTTTAACTTTGAATTTTATTGAAATTTTAGGATTTAGGTCTTGTTAACTTTGAAATGAATTGAATTGATTACCTAGGGTGTAAATTGATTGTTTAAGTTTGTATTGACTTGAATAGTTTAGTTAGGAATTGAATGTTTAACTTTGAATTGAATTGAATTTTAGGGTTTAGTTCTTGTGAATTGGACTTTTAAGGTATGAATTGAATTGGTTCAGGGTATGCGTTAAACTTTTAGGATATGAATTGATCATTTAGGGGTAAGTATTGAACTTTTTGGATAGAGATTATGTTTTGTGAGGTAAATTGATTTATTTAGCGTATTATTGAATGGCATGAGTTGAACTTTTAGGATATGAATTGAACTTTTAGAGTATGAGTTGAATTGGTTTAGGGTATAGGTTGAACTTTTAGGATATGAATTGAATTTTTAGGGGTAAGTGTTGCTTTTTGGAAAGAGCTTATGTTTCGTGAGGTTAATTGAATTGTTTAGGGTATTAATTGAATTATTTAGGGTATCGGTTGAACCTTTAGTATATGAATTGAACTTTTAGAGATAATTTGTTGAACTTTTTGGATATGAATTGAACGTTTAGGGGTAAGTGTTAAACTCTTTGGATATGAATTGAACTTATAGTTTATGTTTAAATTGAGTTAATTATATTTATGATAATTTAATTAGTGTAATTAGTAAAATTAATTATTTTAATTAACTAGAAATGATTTAATTATAATTGTAGAATAAATTAAGTAGTTCTAACACTTATAGAAATATCTAAATTTATTTTTGTTTTCTTTGTGTAGATGGAACATCGTACTTGGATGTACTAGGGATAATACTACTCCTTCAGTTCCAGCCTCTTCACAGATGCATATGTCTTATCCTTCACCACACAGCTATACTGAGCTGCCACAGCATCACCAGGCTTATACTTTCATTCAGATATCGGATCTTCCATCATAGGACTATACGTCCTTCATACAGTCCAGCTGCCTCACATCCACTTGAATCGCAGCCATCTTCATCACAGCTACATGGATCGCAACCATCCATATCACAGCCATATGGGTCACAACCATATGTATCACAGCCACATGGATCGCATCCAGCTATGTCACAGTCATAGGGATCGCAGCCATCTTCATCATCTACTCCATCCGTTTCAGGACTTCGCCTGCAAGACCGTAGCTCGGAGCCCCCATCTAGGCCGTCTACGCATGCCTTTGATACACATGCTGAGGATGATGTTCCAGAGGTAGTGCATTATGATCGTTATGGCAGGATCATCATAGTCCCTGAGGGGAATGGGTAAGAGTTTTTTTGTTATTTTGCGTTTATTATTTTGTAATATTTTAACAAATATTTTCATGTGTTTTTATTATTAAATTGCAGGTTCAAGCCAGGCAATTAGACTACTAAGATAATCACCAATGCCATCAAAAAGCTTTATGATGGCCCCTATGCGACTTAGAGTGATTTTCCATACTCACTGAAAGAGCAAATTTTCAATCAGTTTAAGGTATAAATGTTCTCCTAAGCAGTTCAAAAATTTATATTTATGATGTCTCCATCTAATATTTAACTTTCGATATGCAGAGTAAGTGTGCATGGAAAGATCTCTATAGCAGCAGAGGCTGCAAATTTTCACCATAAAGCCCGCAAGAGATTGGCGGATCATTTCTCAAATCGTAAAAAGAAGAACTAGAGGCCTGACTAGTGTCTGCAGCATTTATGGGATGATTTGTTAAGCCAATGGCAGACCGAGGACTTCTTAAAGAAGAGCAAACAAGGAAAGAAAGCTCGCTCATCCGAGAAGGGAGGCTCCTTTCACACTAGGGTGTCACGACCCCGTTCACCCTCCATGAACATGTCGTGATGGCACCTAGTTCCTATAACTAGGTAAGCCTAACAGTGCGGAATAACAATTCAACTTGAGGAATAATCAATTAAAACTAAACATATAAAAAATTAACAACTGAATATAAGGCCGCTCGGCCTATACAACTCTAAAGATATGCGGAAGTCTACAACTCAATCCCAAAACCCGAAAACTCACGAGAAACACAGACTAATAGAATTACCATAACTACTCTAATCTCCAAAATATCTACATCAAAAGTACGATAGGATAACAACTCTACAACTAGAATAAGGAAGAAGACTCTTCGGTCTGTGGACGCTGCAGATATACCTCGAAGTCTCCGTGTATCTCCTCGCCTCAAGGGTAGTGCGCCTGAGAAGAGGTACCTGGATCTGCACATGAAAACATGCGCAGGAAGGGCATGAGTACACCACAGCAGTACTCAATAAGTGCCAAGCCTAACCTCGGTTGGGTAGTGACGAGGAAGGTCAGGGCCCTACTGAGGTAACATATAATATTAATTAACAGTATGAAAATCTGACAGAAATAATGAGTACAGCAGTGAGATAAGGCAAGTCAACGAGGTAATAACAACTACAAAAGACAGAGTAAACACAGAGTAAATACAGCTCAATGTCAATGATACCAATGAGGGTCTCCCAGGATACCGTCCTGTAGCCCTTTTCTCTACTGTCCAGTGGATCTCCCGGGATACCGTCCCGTAGTCCAACTCATGTACCAAACCGAAGGATCTCCCGGGATACCGACCCGTAGTCCAACCATCAATGTGCAGGGGGATCTATCGGGAATCTAACCCGCAGTCCCAAAGTAAAAGTCCAGGGGGATCTACCGGGAATCGAACCCGTAGTCCCAAAGTAAACAGACAAGGGGGGGAGCTACCGGAATCCCACATCCGTAGTCCCAATGTAAATGCACAACCACAGCTAGAAATATACCAAGGAATGAAGTACGAAATACAAACACAGATAGAACTAGCCTAGCATGCTTCACGTAGAACGGCCAAAACAACTTAAGCAATTAGGCAAATCAATTCAACTAAACATGTTTTTCCTAATCTAGCACAAGTTATAATTTCAAGTAGAATAAGGCAAGTAAGAAAGAAACTAAACCTCAATAACTTAAGTAAAATCGGATTTTTTTCCATCAATCGGCTCAAGTACGCGCCCGTCACCTCACGTACAAGGCACACAAATATCAAGTAACAATCCTAAGGGGAAAAGTCCCCCACACAAGGTTAGACAAGCCACTTACCTCGAATCGGCACCAAAATCAACTCGAAATCACTCTTTTGCCACGAGTATCCGACTCCAAATGACCCAAATCTATTCAATTCAATCACATATCATAAGTAATATTGCAAACAACTGATTCCACTATTCAATTTAAGGCTAAGGAGCGAAAATAGGTAAAATGACCAAAACGCCCCTCAGGCCAACGTCTCGGAATCGAATAATTTTCACATTTTTAGAACCCTCATACTCTCACGAGCCTAACCATATAAAAATCTCCCAAATCGGAGGTCAAATGCCCACTCAAAATCCAAAAGTTAGGTCTAAGAAGTTTTACTCATTTTCTTCCAATTTTGATCCCAAATTCGAATTTTAATGATGGATTTAACTACAAAATAATGAAACATAGCTAGGAGGGATCAAAGAAACATTACCCAATGGTCTTCTCTTCAAAACACTCTGAAAATCGCCCTTCCCCGAGCTAAATTCGACTTTTCTAACTTATGAAATCAAACCCTCGAATTTTCTATATCAGAACAGGTGTTTCCGCTTTTGCGGACAAGGGACCGCATCTGCGGTCCCACTTATGCGGACCAACTCACCGCTTCTGCGGTTTTTCATTAAAGCCAAGAGTTCCGCTACTGCGGTCTTAAACCGCACCTGCGGCTGCCGCTTATGCAGATTCCTTACCGCTTCTGCGGTTTCAATCAAAATCCCAAGGACCGCATCTGCGACTACTATCTCGCAGGTGCGTAACCGCTTCTGCGGTTAAATTTCCGCACCAGCGGAAACTGAAGGAACACTCGAATTCCACTCCTGCGATGGACAGGCCGCTTCTGCGGCTCCGCATCTGGTTCCCAAGCCACAGATGCGAAAATGCCAGAAGCAGCAATGGTTCAGCTGCTGCAACACCTCTCAAATTCTTCCGTTAACCACCCGAAATCATCCCAAGGACCCCGGGACCTCAACCAAAAGCACCAATAACACCTAGTACCTCATTCAAACTTGTACAAATCCTTAAACCACCTAAAATAACGTCGGAAACCCGAATTAATCAAAGATTCAAGCCTAAGAACTTCAAATTCCAACAAAACACGTTTTCGATCAAAAACCTACCCGAACCTCGTCCGAATGACCTGAAATTTTGCACACACATCCAAAATGACATGACGGAACTATTGTAACTTCCAGAATTCCAATCCGACCCTCGGATCAAAAATTCACTATCGGACCGGAAACTTATAGAATTCAAACTTCGGCATTTCAAGCCTAAATGAGCTACGGACTTCCAAAATACATTCCGAACACGCTCCCAACCCCGAAATCACCTAACGGAGCTAACGGAACCATCGGATTTCCATTCCGAGGTTGTCTTCACACTGTTCTGACTACGGACCACTTTTCCACACTTAAGCTCTCATTTAGGGACTAAGTGTCCCAAAACACTCCGAATCCTAACACCGAACGTCCCGGCAAACCAACATAGCAGAAATGAACTTAGGGGAAGCAATTAATGGGGGATCGGGGCGTTAATTCTTAAGACGACCGGTCGGGTCGTCACATCCTCCTACACTTAAACATTCGTTCATCCTCAAACGAGCATAGAGAACATACCTGAAGTAGTGAAAAGGTGAGGGTACTGGCTGCGCATATCCCGCTCGGTCTCCCAAGTCGCCTCCTCGGTCGGCTGAACCCGCCACTGAACCTTCACTGAAGCAATGTTCTTTGACCTCAACTTTCTGATCTGTCTGTCCAATATAGCCACTGGCTCCTCAACATAGGATAGGTCCTTGTCCAACTGGACTGAACTGAAATCCAACACGTGAGACGGATCACCGTGATACCTCCGGAGCATCGAAACATGGAATACCGGATGAACTCCGGCCAAACTGGGAGGCAAGGCAAGCTCATAGGCAACCTCCCCAACTCGCCGCAAGATCTCAAAAGGGCCAATAAACCTCGGACTCAACTTTCCTTTGTTCCCAAACCTCATGACGCCTTTCATAGGCGAGACCCGAAGCAGAACCCGCTCACCAACCATATATGAAACATCACGAACTTTCCTGTCCGCGTAACTCTTCTGTCTGGACTGGACTGTACGGAGTCTATCCTGAATCGTCTTAACCTTCTCCAATGCATCCTGAACCAACTCTGTGCCCAATAGCCTGGCCTCACCCGGCTCAAACCAACCCACCGGGGATCTACACCTCCTACCATATAAAGCCTCATACGGCGCCATCTGAATGCTAGACTGATAACTATTGTTGTAAGAAAACTCCGCCAGTGGCAAGAAATGATCCCAAGACCCTCCAAACTCAATCACACATGTACGGAGCATATCCTCAAGAATCTGAATAGTGCGCTCGGACTGTCTGTCGGTCTGGGGGTGAAATGCTGTGCTCAACTCCACCCGAGTGCCTAACTCCTACTGCACGGCTCTCCAGAACCGCAATGTGAACTGGGTACCTCTGTCCGAAATAATAGAAACTAGAATACCATGCAGACGGACAATCTCCCGGATATAAATCTCCGCCAACCGCTCCGATGAATAAGTGGTACACACAGGGATGAAATGAGCGTACTTGGTCAGCCGATCCACAATGACCCAAATGGCATCAAACTTCTTCAAGGTCCGTGGGAGTCCCGGCACGAAATCCATGGTGATGCGCTCCCACTTCCACTCTGGAATCTCTATCTGTTGGTGCAACCCACTCGGGCGCTGGTGCTCATACTTCACCTGCTGGCAGTTGAGGCATCTAGACACGTAACCAACTATATCCTTCTTCATCTGCCTCCACCAGTAGTGCTGCCTCAAGTCCTAATACATCTTCGCGGCACCCGGATGGATGGAATACCGTGAACTATGGGCCTCTGCTAGAATCAACTCTCGAATACCATCAACATTGGGCACACAAATCCGGCCCTGCATCCTCAATACCCTGTCATCTCCAATGGTCACATCTCTGGCATCTCCATGCTGAACCTTGTCCTGAAGGACAAGCAAATGAGG